CAGGGGGCCTCTTCCGAAGTAGCTTGGACTACAGGCGCCTGGCCACTCGGCTGTCCTGGTAGTTTTTGTATTTTTAGTAGGACAGTGGTTTCATCGGTGTTAGCCAGGATGTCTCGATCTCCCGACCTTGTGATCTTCCCGTCTCGGCCTCCAAAGTGCTTGGGATACAAGGCTTGAGCCACCGCGCTCCGGCCTAATTTTTGATATTTTTGTTGAGATGGGGCTTTCGAACATGTTGCCAGGCTTGGTCTTGAAACTTCCCCGATCTCGAAGTGATTCGCTGTCTCGGCGTGGTTACCAGAGTGCTGGGATTATAGGTATTAGTCACCTGCGCCCAGTCTGTTCCTCTGATTTCTGAAGAGTTGTGTAAGAATGGGTACTATTTCTTTCCTCAAAACGTTTAAAGGAGCAGAAGACAGAGGAACGAGAGAATAGAAATAGCACTAAGAAGTCAGGCATGGTGGCTCACCCATGTAATCCAGACAGCTGGTGGCGAGCGAGGATGGGGATGACAAGCTGGAGCCAGCAGTTTTTGGAGACCAGCCTGGGCGAATCATGTGAGATCCTGTCAATACAAAAAAAGTACAAACATGTTAGGTTGGTGTTATGCTGGAGTAGCCCAGCTACTTGAGGCTTGAGGCTAGGAGGACGCTGAAGGCCCAGGGGTTCAATGCTGCAGTGCGCCCTGATTGTGCCATTGTACCTAGGCCGTTTTGGGCAAAACAGTGTGCAGTCCGCTGTCTGGAAAAATTAAAAAGGAAAATTAGCACTAAAAATGGGTTGCCCCGATACCCCAACTGTACAATAATTAAAGCATTCAGTAAGGAGAAAAAGAAAGCCTATTTTCAACAAGTGGAGACAGAATAACTTGGGATTTCCATACAGGAAACATACCAGAGGACTGACTTTCTACACCTCACACATTAAAACAATTCATTTTAAGAAATTAATTAATGGCTCAAGGGACGTTACGTTAAAACTTACAACCAATTAAAGGTCCTAAAGGAAAACATAAGATAGTATCTTCATTGACTCTGGGGTAAAAAAAAAAAGATGTCTAAAAACAGGACAAGGCAAAACTTGAACTAAGAAAAAGACAAATCCACTTCCTCTTAAGGATACCTGCTAAACTCGTGTAAGGCAACAAATAGGCAAAAAGCAAACAGATCAGATGAAAACATTCAGACACATTGTATCTGATAAGAGGACTTTGTTATCCAGAATGTATAAGCAGTTTCCCTGACAACCAGAACCATTAAAAACCAAACAAAGACGCAAAAAACAGGCAAGACTTGAGAGCTACCTTTACAAACTGAAGATACAAATATGGCCGATAGCAGCATGAAAAGACATGCTGAAACATCCTTGGGTGCAACAGAGGAACTTGGTAAAATTAAACCACAAGGGATATTACCACAATTAGAAGACTGACAATACCCAATTCCGAGAAGGTCTATGGCGACAAGGACCATAATAACTTCCCATACCTTGCTACTTTTTATTTCGCAAAAACTCGCAATTTCCCCTTTCCTAAGTTTATTCTCCAAGGAAACACGAAAACATATGATCACAAAAACCAATGTCAGATGGAATTGTTTATAGGCAGGCTTTAATTTTCATAACCCCAAATGGAAAACAACCAAAAGGGCCATCAAAGAACGGAATATACAATCGATGGGGCTGATACTAAATGAAAAGGAGCA